GCCGCCAGGGCTCCCCATGGCAGTGAAGTCCCGTGCTGATTTTTCCTAAATGGAAGAATGCAGGCATCGGAGCTCCGCCTTGCCGCAGGACCCAGGCTTGTCCCTCACAGTCCCGATAACTGGGATGAGGTGCCGTGGTCCATCTGCGAGCTCTCCAGGGAAGAAGATGCCAGCATCTGCGGTGCTGATCCTTCCAGGGAGCCTGCAGCCTGGGATTGCCCCTTTGTGTCTCTGGTCTCTGGCTCCTGCACCTGGTGCCACTGCTCGAGCTGGGATTCCAGTGACCCGCTCACTCAGCCACCATTGTCAACAGCACCTCCTTCCTTGTTGCTGGTTCTGTGGTCAGGGATCTCTCTCTGAAGCGCTGCCCTGGGCTACTTCGTCCGTACTTAAAAAACCACCGGGCACTCCTCCTTTACCTACAGAACTGGGCTCTCGGACTGGCATTCGCAGTCTTCCGCACTTTGGCCCCAGGCTAACTCTTCAGCTTGATCCTCCGCTAAGTCCTTGCTCCACCGCAGGCCCATCCATCACCTTCCTCGTGTTGCCTCCACCCTGGACCACCTGCTCTTCCCTGAATGTGTCTTCCAGGCTTCCACCTCCAAACGCCTGCTCAAGTGGGTCTTCTGTGGCTCCCGATCGCCCCCGATCTGCCACGCTGTACCAGGTTGCTGCCTGACTCCCACTAGGTTGGGCGCCCCTCCAGGGACAGCTGGCTTGGTGGCTGGCACAGACGGGTACAGCAGGAGCTCTGTGGAGGTTTGGTGGGAGAATGAATGGATGAATGAACGCCTGCACCCTTGATTGGCTTCTGGTTCATCTTTGTGGGCCTTGTGGCTGGTGCGCAACACAGTGCTGGCACGGAGCGGGAGCTGAGGCACGTCAGACAAGCTTGCAGTGGGTAGGGCCGTGGTTTCCGGCACTCACAGCTCAGATCCCAGCAATATCCACCCATTCATTTAACCGCGATGATTTGCTCACCTTCTGGCCCAGGCACCATGCTGGGCTCATTATTGAGTTCAAGTGCCCTATGCCCCTTCCTGAGGAGCCCTGGTGGCGGAGTGGGCACACATTGAGCTGCTAACCGCAAGGTCAGTAAGGGTTTACAGTCTCAGAAACCCACAGGGGAAGTTTAGTCTGTCCTATAGGGTCCCTATGAATTGGAATCAACTGGATTGGATGGCAGTGAGGAAGTGAGGGACGCTCCTTCCCATCCTTCCAATATTCTTTATCTCTAGTTCCTGATTCTTACTGTTCCCGTTAGCATTCCAAAGGGCATCATGCTGGGGTCATCGCTATGGAGGACGCATGGGGGTGGGGGGGGCAGGGCTCGGGAGCTTGGACAAACCACCACCCTTCTCATCCTGCAGTCAGCTACACCAGTCCAGTCGGGGAAGAGTTTTTGTTCCCGGAACTGACGCGCAGCGCATTGTAAAGGTCTGTGGCTGCAGAAATCCATCTCCCTCGGCTTCCTCTTCAAGGACAAAGACTGTATCGCAATCTTCCCCAAAGGACCGCCTGAGATTGGGCAGAAATGCACAGACTGGACGAGCATCGCCGAGATGCAAGCAGGAAGACTGAGCGGTCCACAGCTGGGATGGGGTATGCCTAGCCTCCGAAGGGATCGACATTTTCAAAAGCAAAATAAAAGCAAATTCAGCTACTCAGTCTGCATCCCTGAAGTGAAATTTCTGCACCAAATTCCACAAGAGGCTCTCTGGGGCGCAAGAGCGGGTTCCCTAAGGCAGTGTCAGGGGCCAGAAGGGGCTGGCTTAGGGTGGAGGCCCAGGCCCAGGGGTAGGCAGTCCTGAGGAGTGACAGCTGCTTACAGCACTCGGTGCCCTTGACGGGGTCGGGGAGGCTGGTGCACAGGCCCGGGGTGTGCGGCACGGCGACCCTCCACCTGGAGCCTGTACTGTCGCATGCGGTGTACTCATAGTGGTACTCAGACTGCAAGGGAGAGAACAGTGGGCAAAAGGCACGTTAGTCGTGGTTCAGCATCAACACCGCCCCGCCTGCCTCCTGCCCACACGATGGCTCAGACACACAGTCACGGGCCCTCGGATCGCTGGCGGGGGTTGGGGGGATCAGGCCACCCTCGAGCTGGAATGGTTGTTAGGACGCTTGTACAGTGACCAGGATCACTGGACACTCCTCCCCATCCGGCCATGATCTAGTCAGTACAGCTGCTGCCTTTGAGTGGAGTCTGACTCAGAGGAGCAATGCTTCACTGGGGGTTCTGGGCTGTCATCTTTCTGGAAGTGGACACCCCCACCCCACCCCACCCCCTCACCCTCGCCCAAGCCGTACTTCCCAGGCACCGGTGAGTGGCTTCGAACTGCCAGCCTTTATTTAGGTCAAGTAGTTGAGTGAGGACCCAGGGGATACAGGAAGGTAAGTAAAGAAGAGGCTGGGATAGGTGGAGCTTTCTTACCACTGTGGGAGCCCTGGTGGCATGGGGATTACACGTTGGGCTGCTAACCATAAGGTCGGCAGTTCAAAACCAACAGCCGCTCCTCCGGAGAAAGATGAGGCTTTCTACTCCCATAAAGAGCTACAGTCTTGGAGACTCACAGGGCAGCTCTACCTTGTTGCTGTGAGTTGGCATTGACTTGATGGCAATGAGTCTTGCCCCAAACTGTAGAGGTGATCTCAGGGCTGACCCATGAGCAATTTACAAAGGACCCACCCAGAAGCTGAGGGCCCGTGTTCCCTTCTGCTCAGAGACTAGAACTGCTGCCTCCAGTTGGATGATTGCTGTATTCATGTGCCCTCAGCACATAAGCCTGTTTCTGCCCAATTTCCTGGAACAAAGGGACACTTTCCCTGAATGACAGGAGCCAGCTGTTAGCTGAAAGGTTGGCAGTTTGATTGAACCCATTAACCAGTTGGCAGAAGAAAGAGGCAGTAGTTGGCCTTCTCAAGATATCAGTAGGAAACTCCACTGGGCAATCCAACTCTGTCCTGTAGGAGGGTCTCTATGATGTTGGAACTGACAGCATGGCACTGAACTAAGGGCCAGCTAACAGCAGAGAAGCAATCAAACTGACATGAAATAAACAAGATGAAAATAACGATGAAAATGGGATTTATTTGGGAGAAAGAAGGGACAACAGACGTGCCAAATGCCCATACATATTTCCTATGCTGCTAAATCGCGAAACAAACGACAGACTACGGAACTAAGGCTTTCGCTCTGAAAAGAATTTTACAATCGGTACTTGCCTAACACTGTAGCCAGACCCAGAGGTATTTTGTATTTTGTGTCCACAAGGAAAAGTAGAATTGATATTCCCCTTTAGTTCACATGAAAGCACGATTACGTAACACGTCTAAGTGCAAATTGCTGAGCCAAGACCTGAGGGACATTGAGAGTTTGCTAATCTAATAATAAAAGGAGCTCTGACAGTGTAGGCTGTTACAAACTGGGCTGCTCACCTTCAGGTCGGCAGTTCGAATCTAGCAACTGCTCCTCAGGAGAAAGACAGGGGCTTTCTACTCCCATAAAAAGTTAGTCTCAGACACCCACAGGGGCAGTTCTGGCCTGTCCTGCAGGATCACAGTGAATCGGCATCCACTCAATGGCAATTAATCAAATAGTGATGTCCTCGGCGAGGGCCATGGCAAATGGGCTCCACTACTCACTGAGAGATGGGGTGGTAAAATCCATCCAGAAGCACCTTGGGAGAACAGCCTGCTGGTCTACTTCCAAAAAGGCAGCCTCTCAGAACCATGTAGAGCCGTCTTACTCTGACACACACAGTCACCAGGAGTCAAAGGTGACGGGGCAGCAAGGGACCTGGTGTTCTTGTAATACTGCACCAGGACCATCGAGAGAGGGAACGCACTGCACGCATGTACCGAAAGATGCACATTAAAAACCACTTTAACGTGCATGAGATCGAGACAGGTCCCTTGTAGCTGGCTCAGGAAGGAAGCATGGTGTCAGTCACAGCTTGGTGGGTACAGTGCTTTCTTCCTTTGTGTCATGTAAAAATAGTGCATCGGGGACCGATGCACCCAGACTTGCTCATGCTTCGTGAGCCTGGCGTCTCTCTATCTGGTTTCAGAAAGCTGTTGTGGTTCGGTGCTGTCGAGTCGGTTCTGATCCCCCATGTACAACAGAAGGAAACATCACCCAGGCCTGTGGCACCCTCCTAGTGGTTCTTATGCCTGAGCCCATGGGTGCAGCCACCATGCCAATCCATCTTGCCCAGGGCCTTCCTCTTTGTCGCTGCTCCTCCACATTACCAAGCACGATGCCCTTTTCCAGGGACTGGACCGTGCTTATAAAAGAGCAATCCTAGAGCTCTGCATTTGGCTGTTCCCTTTACTTTAGGGGCTTGTCAAGCGCACGTGGTATGTCCGCCACTTGGAGGGACTAGGTGTTGTCCTCTGTAGGGCTCTGGATAAGCCAGACTCACCATCCTGGAGTCAATTCTGACTCCTGATGACTCTTAATGACAGGGTACAAATGCCCCATTGGTTTCCGAGACTATAGCTCTTCACAGGAGTAGAACGTCCTTTCTCAATCCCGAGGAGTGGCTGGTGGTTTCAAACTGCTGACCTTGTGGTTAGCAGCCTAACTCTACCACGCCCCAGGGCTCCTGATGGCTAGGGAGTCTTCCCCTAAGCCCAGCACTGCATCCAGGACAGGAAGATGCACCACAGAAGGGAAAGCTTGGGCCATGTGAGCCTGACTTCTAGGAAGGCGTCCCTGTGTGGCGAAAGCAGTTAAAATGCTTAGCTGGCAGCTGTCGGAGGTTTGAACCTACCTGGGAAACTGGGAAGCCAGGCTTGGCGAGGAACTCCCGTGAAATCAGCCACAGAAAGCCCCACAGACCACAGCCCTATGGGACACACATGGGCTCCCAGATCAGGTTGGGATTTTTTGTACCCTTGGGGTACCACCTGTCTGGCCTAGTTTTCCTCCAAATCCCTGTCTTTTTTGTATCTCAGAAGGCTCTGCAGCTAGAGGAGGCAAGCTGACACCAGTGTAGGGAGCATGTCAGTTCCCGTACAGACTGCACATGAAACAGAGAACGGAGTGACCATGGTGGAAAGGATGCCGTGTTCTGCCTGTGAGCATAATTACACTGCTCGTTTGCATGATGCGTTTATAGTCCCCCAGCCCCATCTCGTTGGGTTTTCCCAACGCGCCGAGAGGCAAGCAGAGCAGAAGCTGTTCCTTTGGTTGCACGGATAAGAAAATGGGCAAGTGGCTTGTCCAAGGTCACCCAGCAGCTAAGTCACCGAGTCAGCACCCAGACCCAAGCATGTGGCGCCCTCCTCCACCCCCAGACATCCAATCAAACACGTAGCCTCACACCGGGCCAGATCTAGCCGTCAAATCTAAAAGTTAAATATGACAGCGCTTGTTGTCTGCCAGCAGCCAGGCTCACGTCTGAGGCCTGAGAATTGGTACTGTTCTGTTCGATCCGATGATTTCAATTCAGCCTGACTCTAGTCAGGCGACTGGAGGTGCATGGACCAAGTTCATTCCTTTCATCTTTGTTCATTGGTCGGGAGGTCCACTGGGAACATAGTGGTCCCCAGTGTTCGAAAAGCCCCCTTTGAATGTGTGCTTATTTCCCCTGGGGAATCTGGGGATGCGGTCCAAGGCGGCTGGCTGGAGGGCAGCAGTTTCCGATCAGACCAGCCCTCTGAGGGCTCACCATTTTCAGACTTAAGCTTCCAGAGACAGTTAAATCGGAGATATAACTTCCAGGACTACTGAATTAGCCTCAGGGCTCTCCAGCAGAACTGAGAGCGAGCACAGTGGCTGCTCTTTGGAAGGGTGTAGCCTGTGTGGTACCCAGGGTGGCTGTTAGCTGAGTGCGAGTGGAGCCTGGAGGTATGGCCATGCTTCACTCTGCTGTGCTCGCTCCATCACTGGGCTTTGCAGCAATATCCCAGCCTTGTTTGCTCGTTTTTTCACAAATTGTGGGTGTGGCCACCCTGGGTGGAGCAAGTCCACCGGCGCCATTTTCCCCAACAGCATGTACTCACTTCGTGTCTCTGTGGCACATTTCTGGTCATTCTCAAAAATATTTAAAACTTTTTAACAATAGGATTGCACAATTTTTCAAAAGGCAGTCTGAGAAGACAGAGGCAAAGCTTTCTAACGATACGTGCAAAGACCTGGAGTTAGACAACCCCAAGGGAGGAATGGGCTGTGTGGATGGCGCAGGACCCAGCAGGGATACCATGTGCTGAGCAGAGGGTCGCTGGGAGCTCCAACTGACTCCGTACCCCCAGCAATGACACTCCCTCCTCATGATATATGGTCTTGGTAGGAGTGCCAAGGGAGGATGCCCAGCCTTCTCTGCCACGGGATGGATACATAGCTCACGGTTGGTCAAGCAGTTGCTCTCTCTGGATAAGTAGCGGCATTTAAGGATTAGGGAGGAGTGGGGCAGCAAACTGGAAGAGCTGGGGAATACCCCCTTTTCCTTCGCAGCTCAACCTACCTGTCACGCCATGCCAACCCAAATCATAGGAGTAATAAAAATTAAGGTTATAATTTAACAAGAAAACAACCCAATAAAATAGTGGGTGACAGACCTGCGCAGTCACTTCACCAAAGAGGAGGTTCAAATGACTCACAAGCACCAGGCAGTACACCAATCCACATGCACCGCCACAAGCTGGCTTGGGTTTGCAATCACTCTCCAGGGTTTGGAGGTGGTCCATCTTGACAGGAGCAGAGAGCCTTGTCTTTCTCCCTCGGAGCAGCTTTGGACATTGGACAATGGCATTTAGACCTTGGACATGCTGGACATGTTCTCAGGAGCCACCTGTCCCTGGAGAAGGACATCATGCTTGGTAAACTAGAGGGGCGGTGACAGAGAGGAAGGCCTTCGACGAGGCAGCCTGACACAGTGGCTGCAACAAGAGCACTTGTGAGGACGGTGCAGGACCGGGTGGTGTTTGCTCTGTTGCACATTCGG